AACCGCAGTCCCTGTGCTTTGCTAAGCTTGTTCTAAGTAGGTACTTTAGACCACTGAGCCATCTCACCAGCCCCTTCAACCCCATTTTCAAGGTTTTCCTTTGTGTCCACATCTGCCACACATAGGTAGCTTCCCTTGCAGTTGCTACTTGAGTCCCTAACCTGTACTTTCTAAGTTCTTATTATACATCCCAGGTTGGACATCTCATATGTAACTCAAACTCATTGAAACAAAATTGAATTCAGTTCATGACATTACCTTGAAACTAGCTCCTCCTAGTCTTCCTTTAGTTTTTAGGAAGCATTAGGTAGATTTTTAAGGCAGAGAGTAATTATCCTTGACTTCTCCCTCTTTTTTATTGCCAGTGTTCACTGATGTTATGGCTTATACCTAGATGTTCTCCCAATGTCTCAGGTACTCTTAAGAGGAGCTTTACAGAGGTGGCTGGATCTAGAGTGTGTAAACATCGAGTAAGGGAACATTATAAATAAATTAATCAGCTGATTTGTTTAACACAGTAATGAGAAGGTCCACCTTGGGTGTGGATGACACTAGCTAATAGGCTTGTAGCCTGAATGGAATAAAAGGGAAAGGGACACTCAATGCCACTGCTTGCTACGTACTGCTTGTCACACCACGAAATGTTTCTCTTCCGTGTCCCTCTGCCACGTGATCCTGCCTTAGAACCAGCTAACCAGGGACTAAATCCCCCACAAACTTTAAGCTAAAACAAACCTTTACTCCTTTAACCTTAAGGAATTGGGTATTGTGTTTCAGTAATGAGGAAAATAACTAAGACAGAATCTAAGAATACATCATGTTTTGCAAAACGTTTTATAGTAAAGTATAAGAAAACAGGCACATTTAAACATCAGGAGAAAGGGTTAAGGCAAAGTTTGTTATCCAACATGAAGGAATTTAATGCATATTTATAGAAAGCAAGGAAAGAAGCTAATTCTAAGGAAGAAATCTCATTGTAAGAGAGTATAATAACTGGCTATGGTGGTGCAGGCCCAGAACGTTAGCATTCTAGGTAACTGAGGCAGGGAGATCACAAGTTTGTATCCAGCCTGCACAACTTAATGATTTAATGAGGCCCTGTTTCTAAAAAGTATATAAAATGAGGATTGGGGATATAGCTCAGTTTGGAGGCCATGGGTTTAGCCTGTACTAATACAGAAAAAGACACAGAGAGA